AGAAACAACAAAACCCTATGAAGAATTGCAATTGGCCGAATGGTGTTCTGTGGTCGGGAAGCAAGGCTGGGCGGTAGCGTGGTTCTTCTGCAATCGGATTTGGGTCTTGCGTTCTCAACTCGCAGAGTAGATTAGTGCGGTTCTGTGTCTTCTTCTTTCTGCTGGTGAACCACAGATGCGGATGGCAAGAAGGCTGGGCGGCTGAGCGGCTTCTCCTCTCGCGTCTCTCTGTGTGGCTGTCCTCTTCTGCTGCTGGTAATAAACAGATGTGGGTTCTGGGATGTGGGCGGCTGGGTGTTCTTTTCCTCTTGTACAGAACCCTCTCCTCCGTCTGTGTGGCTCTCTCTCTCTCTGTTCTCTGGTTTCTGCCGAGTAGTCTCTATATATATCAAGAAATTAGAACCTAGAACCCTTATTTCCTTTAACCCTAGCAGACATGGGTTATGGGCTTTGTTTTGGGCCTGGATTGCAATTGGCCCACACATAAAAGAAACATAGCCCGTCTCTTTATTTCTGCACTGCCTATAGTCAAAACCGTCACATTCAACCAAAAATCTGTATTGATACAGCTAGAACTGGGTTAAGCTCATAAAACATCAATTGTAGCTCTGCCTCTTAGCTTTCCAACGCCTAAAGAATCAACTCAATCCGATACCTAGAGAAAAAGATATGGTTAAATTACTGCAGTATGTGTAAATTGTCACTTATTGCAAAATTAATTCCTATCTTAATGTCCACCTACAAATAATGAAATTAATATAAACAAAGGTGAAACTAAGTTACAAAGGACCCATAATATTAATTTCTAGGCTCAAAAAGGGTAGATAAATCCATATAAAAATTAAACTATCATTCTTCTCAAACAAACAACTCCAGAATTAAAAACTTGGCTTCAGGGTCAACATAAAATCCTCCTTTCAACTTTGCTCCAAACCCACTATCCAAGCAGGCTGTAACATCGGATGGAGTGTCGATCCGTCACTTCCTTGGCCGTGAAGGTTGGGGTCAGGTAGAGATCTAGATCGAATGGAGGTGGTTTCTTAAATTCCTCCTCCATCTTTCGCTTTGGCGAGACCATGGATCTCGAATTTGTAAATCTGAAGTTCGAGTTCAGATTCATTGTTTCTTGAAGCTTCCGAGTATCTGTCCAGGTTGTTTTCGAAGTTTCGTCGGATGCTGGTGGAGAAACCATCAACTCTGACAACGGCCGGAGGGTTTTGCCAAGGAGAACAATCTCCACCGCCACCTGGCACACATGCCAGTTCTCCATCCACAGCAGCCCTACCGCGCCGTTCACCGGATTCACCATCCTTCCGCATGCTTCAAACAGCAAGGATTGAAACAACGTTGAAACACAAACACAACACAACACATGACACAAGAAATTGAGCACAAAATTGAAAAATCCAAATCCAATCCAAGAAATGTGAGAAAATAATAATAATAAAAAAGGACACACCAGGACGCTGAGATTCTGGAATGGCGGAAAGGAAGGAGATGAGGCCATAGTGGCCAAAAAACTTGGCAACGAAAACGGTGGCGTGGCCTTGGGCCTCGGCGTTGTCGATCCACTGAAGACAAGGTGAAGACAGGGACGCAGAATACAGGACTCACTGCATCCCTTTCGCAAAATGCTACACCCATTGCAACTCATCGAATTCGATCTAAAGTTGTTTGTTTGGGAAGAACATGCTTTTCTTTTTTTCTTTTTTTTTTTGGCAGAGATTGAGAACCCAGCTTGTGCCTGGGTTCATCACAAACCCAGGCGCAAGTTGGGTTCATTGACAACCTAGTCTTGTGAGCTGGGTTCATCCTGGGTTTGCGAAGAACCCAGGACGAACCACCTAGGCGTGCTTGGGGTTCGTCGCGAACCCAAGATGAACTCGAGCGCGATGAACCCAAGTCACGCCTGGGTTAGCGACGAACCCAGCAAAGGTTTAAAAAAAAAAAAGAGAGATGATAACGGAGGGAAAGGAGAGGATAAGACAGAAGGGGGAAGAAAATAGGGGCAAATTAGTGAAGATTTGAGGGCTTTGATGGAGGAAGGTTTGGCGAAGAAGAAGAAATCAATGGGATTAGAGGGGGATTAAGTTTAGGCAAAAGTAGAGAGGATTGGGGATTTGGGCTTAGGAAGAAGATGAGGATAGAAATGGGAAATGAAAAGATAAAGGGAAAAATGATTTTTTTCTTTTAATTATTTTAATTATTTTAGGACCTATTGATTACATGGAAAATAAATCTGATTGCCAACTCAACAATTTTGCCACGTGTAATCCTATGTCACCATTAAAAGGAAAAAAAAAAGACATTTAACGGATAATTGTGTCATGCTATCACTTGACTGACAGAAGGACTAAAAAGGGGTAGGATTTCAAACAGTAAGGATCAAAAAGGGGATTTTTTCGGTATAGGGACTAAAAAAGGGCTTTTTCCTATAGTAGAGGGACCAAAAAGGGTATTTAACCCTCTCCTCCTTCATTGTTTTCCCTTTGGCTTCTAGCCCTCATATTTCCTCTTCCACCCTTTTTCCACACTTTTGCTTAGGGCAAATCTACTATTGTTTAAAGCAATTTTCTTTTGAGTATGTCGAGTCCCCCCTTATTAGGTTTTATAGGACAATTGAGAGACAATAATTAGTGGTGGCAAAGGGAACTTGGATTCTAAAGTAGCTACTAGATCAAAGGCAAAGATTGTGAGCAACATCTTAAGTTACAGGTGGATGGGAGATTAAGGCTTGTTTGAGTTAGGGAAGGACCAACAATTGGTGGGCGAGAACTATTGATAAGCTAAATTTATATATATTAATATGGAATTTCTACCTTGATATTATTAATATTTGGATGAATTTTATGAGATTTTACATGGTTTTTATTCTTTGTGCAGAAAAAGACTTGAATACATAATAATAGGAGTTTTTGGGATTAATTGAACATCTTTTGAAAGTTGAGGGACTGAATTGCAAGAAGAAAGGCCATCCTTGGGACCTAGATGAATGAATCTTAAGTTTTGGGATCTAAGTGCTCATCGTACAAAATCTAGAGGACGAGATCTTAAATTTTACCATTGAAGAAATTGCAAAAGGTTAAAACCCATTTGGGCCCTGAACTATTTATGGACCCTCGATTTGGTCCTTAAACTTAAAAAATCCCTGATTTAGTCCCTATTGTTTATTATTTTTACCCCGATTTGGTTCTTCTGTTAAATTTTCACTTTACTTGATAGACGAAAACAGAAAAAGCATTACATGTCACACAAAAATTAACAAATTGAGAAAAATAGATGACATGGCCATTTGAACTCATCCACCAAAAAAACTTCTTTTTTTTTTTTCGTTCCTCTCTTTCCTTTTCCCTTTCTTCAACTTCTGCAAACCCTAACATTTCAACCAATTTCTAACATCTCAACTAATCTATTCATCTCAACCAATTTCTATGATAGGTTCATCATCATCATCATCATCAAACAAAAAAACCTACCAAAAAACAAACTTTAAAAAAAAAAATTTTACGCCTGGATTCTTTCAAACCTAGGTGTGTTGGGTTCAATC